CGCGGGCGGCGCGGGCGGCACGTGGTGGCGCCGCTGGCAGCCCCGAGTGTGGGCGCTCTTCGAGGACCCCTACTCGTCGCGTGCAGCCAGGGTGAGCGTGCTCTCGGAGCCCCTATCCATCCCACCCTGCCTCTCCAGGCACTCCCAGACCCTCTGTGGCGCCCCTGTCCAACACTCATTCTCCTGGCCTGTCCCAACCTCTCCTGGTCACCTCTCTAGGACTCCTGGACTGTTAGAAGCCTCTTCCTCCAAGCCCGGGTCTCCTGTACTCCTCTGAACACGCCCTCTTCTGCCGGCCATCCCCCCATCCTCAAAAGACATCTCTCCAAACTTTAGAATCTCCCAGACCCCTCCAGAACCTATCTTGCTTCTCCAGGGTACCCTAGACCCTTAGAAACTTCCTCTCCATAGCGAATCTTCCCAGCTCTTCCAACAACTCCATTCCCATTTTTCCTGGACCCCTCCTCAACCCTCAGAGGAGCTCTCCGCAGTCCCTCAGAAGGCATCCCTTCCCAGCCCTCAAAGTGTCCCCAGCCCTGTAAGCACTACCCCTCACTCTCCCCTCCTCTCCAGACTTTTCCAAGGCCTCCCTGGGCTCTTCTCCCAGGTGAGCTCTCTCTCCATGTTTGAGTCTCCTGTTAAATTTCTAGGACTTGCTTCCCCCCATCCTTGCTTTTTCTGCTCTCAAAGTCTCAGAAGGCCCCCTATGCCGAGCTCAGCGCTTCCTGAGTCCCTCGTAACCTCCAAACTACTTGCTGTAGCCAGGACACTTCCTCCACCCCCTCATTGCAACCCTGAGTCTTGGGGAGTCTTTCCTCATGGAACCCCCAGGCCCTCTCTGTTCTTGTCTCTTCTTGCATCTTTTATGCCAACTCCTCTCTCCCATAAAGCTCCAGACGTGCCCGGAGCTTTTTCACCCCTCCTCCAGGCCTCCAGAGAGTGAGCCCCATGGTGTGCCCTTCCTCTCCGGAACCCCCAGATGTCCTCCAGAATCGCGTGTCCCTTATCCACATTCTCCCAGCTTTTCCATCTTACAAACTGCATCGCCCACTCTCTGTCTCTGGAATCCCCCCTCAAAGCCCTCTCCCAAGTCTAGATGACGTTCCCTCCTGCTCCACTGCTTTATCAAACCTTGGGGGCACCCTCAAGTCATCAGCCCCAAAACTTTTCTCCTCAGAATAGCTTCCAGTGCTTCCTACCCTGCTTTGGGAGCTTCCCCTTCCCCTCCTCCTCCAGCCCTGCTCTCTCCTTCTCAAGTTCCTCCTCCAAACCTCAGGACCAGGCTTCTTAGCCTGCCAGCACCACCACCAAGGAACCCACAGCCCGGCCTTAGACTTCCTCAACCCTTTTCTCCCTCAAAATGCCAGATTTCCACCCAAATCCTGCCCATCTATCCCAAAAAACTTTCCCCAACATTTGTAACTTCCCAGGCTGAGCGGGCACCCTCCCCCCTGGTTCTCAGCGGAACCTCTTCCTCCTCCTAACTTCCTCTCCATCCCAGAGACCCCGGAGGGAGAATGTGGTGGAGAGGGGGGCGGTTCCTTTGAGAGGAATTGGAATTAGAGGCAAAGAGGAGGGAGCCCAGGGCCCCCCGGGACCCAAACACCCGGAGGAGCCTGTCCCAGGCCCCTTCCCCCACCGTGCGGCGTCCCGGGCCAGGAAGGACGCGGAGCCGCAGTGCCGCATTCGCGCCGGGGGAGGGAGCGAGGGGGGGCCAAGAGGCACCGCATAAAGTTTGGTCCCCGGGAAGCGCTGAGTGGACAAGATTTGGGGTTGAGTCGGGGGAGGCGGGGAGGCAGAGGTGCAGAAGGGACGTGGCCCCAGATGCCCCCTCGGGCCTCTGAGCGGTCCTCTCCCTGCACGGCCCTGGGCGCCCTTCCCTCCTGTGACCCCACTGAAAGGTGCTGAGGTGAGGGGAAAGTGAACGTAGAGTCCTTCTGTAATGGTCAGGCTAGGGGTCCGGGACAGCTACGGGGTCGTTCATTTACTCCATCAGTGTTTTTTTTGTCTGCGGCGTGCTAGGCACTTTCCAGCTAAGTGAGACTGCTTGAGAGAGTTGGAAGCGGAGGCCAAAGCAAAGTGGAGATCTGGCCCTACCTCTCCTTCCCTCCTCCCCTCCCTTCCTCCCTCGTAATCTTTCCTTCTTACAGAGACTCCATGTCCTCTACCCTTTCTGCTTTTGAGCTACCTCGAGGTCAGAGGTTAAACTAGCCCGACGCTATCCTGCCTCTGCAGCTGCTCACTGCGGTGGGTGCCCACCTTCCCCTGTGCTCTGGGAAGGAAGGAGTTAATCCAGCTTCTGGCCCGTGGCCCCCCGCCGGGCAGCGGCGGCACTGCGGCTGCGCACTGCCTGCTGGGCTCCGGCCCGGACAGGGTTAAGACGGCTCCCGGCCGCTGCGAAAAAAAACCCACTGCAGTGCCGCAGCCTGCGCCGCGCGCCCGGCTCGGAGGGGGCGGGGAGCGCCGGGCATGCGCTCTGCGGAGGCCTCTGGCCTCTTAACCACTGCGGAGAAAGGAAGAGGGGCAGAGAGCCAGCTCTGACCTCTGACCCACCCGACATCCAGGGCTCTCTTCCCTCGCCCCCCCTCTGCTCTACATCTCAGGTTAAAGCCAAGCCCAGACCCTGCTTCCCATGCCTGTGGAGAAGGAGGTTCCACGAGGGACAGTGTCCCCCGGCCCACCCCAAGGTCCAGGGTCCTCTCTGTGGCCCCACCATGGCCCCCTTTCACTGTACCCCAGATTAGAAGCCATGCACCCCATGCCCTCCCTCTTCCACTACCCTTCTGATTGAGCCCCCTCTTTGCCCCAGCACCTTATTCCCTGCCCTCCCCTCTCCCCACCCCTTCACATCCAATAAGCCCACATCTCTAGAGGTCTGACCCCAGGCCTGCCTTCTCTGGTTCTTGCCTTTACTCCCTCTATTTCAAGGCTTTCACCAAAACCCACACCCCTGTGCAGCAGTATCTCCCATCTTGAAATGGCCCAGGCACCCCCACCCCATATTCTGTGCCTCTGACAAAGGCCCCCGGCCTCTGGCCCTGGCCCTTGCTTCTCCTGTGTCCAGGCCCCTGATTCTCCCTCCCCAGGGTCTTAAACCCCATCCTTCCTTCCCAGTTCTGATCCCTTTTCTGGGCTTGGCTGTTCAACCCCTTCCTGCTCCAGGGCCCAGTGCCCCCTGTGTATGAGGTGCTTGCTCTAGCCCTCTCCCTCAGCACCAAAGTCCTTAACTCCTGGCCTCTTGCCCCCACTAACTGATGCCCCTACACCGTAGTAACGGCAGTCCTTACTGTGTTCCAGGCGCTGGGCCAAGCACTGTTTTTGTACACTCACCTGGTTTAACCCTCACGACAGTCCCATAAAACCCCCGAGACTCAGCCAAATCTCCTTGCCCAGGTCAGGCAGGTTACAATCCGGATTAAACCCAGGCTTCCTTCACCATCTCCTGGTTCCTTCTCCCTGCTCGCCCTCTTCCCATACCCCCCCTCAGCTCCAAAGTGAGACAGAGGGTGTGTGATCTTCGTCCAGGATGGTGGGAGAGGGGGGCCAGGACATGTGGGCCAGGGGCCAGACGAGTCATCTCCAAGGACGAGGAGAGGCTGCCAGAGAGGCTGCTGTCGGCCTCAAGCCAGCTCCTCTCCTGCTGCATCTGCTCCTCCCTTCCCCTTCCCTTTTGTTACCTTGAGGAAGAGCCAGACAGGGTGCCGGGAATGATGGAGCCGCTGGGTTGGGACATGGATTTTCCCTGGAGTCAGGGCCTAGAAGGTGGGGAGGGGACACCAGAAGGGTCTTTGGGGCCTCTGATCGACCAGATGCCTGGGTCAGCTCTCCCCTCTGCCCTGCAGTATGTGGCCTTCGCCTCGCTCTTCTTCATCCTCATCTCCATCACCACTTTCTGCCTGGAGACCCATGAGGGCTTCATCCACATCAGCAACAAGACGGTGACACAGGCCTCCCCGATCCCTGGGGCCCCGCCGGAGAACATCACCAACGTGGAGGTGGAGACGGAGCCCTTCTTGACCTACGTGGAGGGCGTGTGCGTGGTCTGGTTCACCTTTGAGTTCCTCATGCGCATCACCTTCTGCCCGGACAAGGTGGAGTTCCTCAAGAGCAGCCTCAACATCATCGACTGTGTGGCCATCCTGCCCTTCTATCTCGAGGTGGGCCTGTCAGGCCTCAGCTCCAAAGCCGCCAAGGACGTGCTGGGCTTCCTGCGGGTCGTGCGCTTCGTGCGCATCCTGCGCATCTTCAAGCTGACCCGCCACTTTGTGGGGCTGCGTGTGCTGGGCCACACGCTCCGCGCCAGCACCAACGAGTTCCTGCTGCTCATCATCTTCCTAGCCCTGGGGGTGCTCATCTTTGCCACCATGATCTACTACGCTGAGCGCATTGGCGCCGACCCCGATGACATCCTGGGCTCCAACCACACCTACTTCAAGAACATCCCCATTGGTTTCTGGTGGGCCGTGGTCACCATGACAACGCTGGGCTACGGAGACATGTACCCCAAGACTTGGTCGGGGATGCTGGTCGGGGCGCTCTGTGCCCTGGCCGGGGTGCTCACCATCGCCATGCCCGTCCCCGTCATTGTCAACAACTTTGGCATGTACTATTCGCTGGCCATGGCCAAACAGAAGCTGCCCAAGAAGAAGAACAAACACATCCCCCGGCCCCCGCAGCCTGGACCTCCCTGCCAGGGCCCCACACGCACCCGGGGCTGCTCAGGGGAGGAGCGGGTGGGTTGGGGATCATGGGGCTGCCCCCTCTGCCTGCCCCTGGTGAGCCTTGCCCATTGGCTCAGGAGGAGGTGATTGAGATCAACCGGGCAGGTGAGGCTGGGCAGTGGGGGTGGAGGTGGGGGATATGGGGACACAAGAGGGAGTGGCTGAGGCCTGGAGGGACCAGGATGGTCAGCAACAGAGAGAGGAGAGGCCACAGATGGACGGCTAGAGCCGAGACCAAAGGGGAGGCCAGGGGGCCGCAGAGACGCGAGTTTGGCGAGGAAGAGCCTCTGGGAGAGCGGGACTCAGTGGGCTGGCGAGGCAGCGGCGGGAGGCAGAGCAGTTGGCTCCACAGTGCCAGGGATGCAGGGAGACATGGGCGACTCACGTGTGAGTCACAGCAGAGCACAGACGGATGGTGCAGCCTTAGCGTCCTGGAGGATGGTTCTGGAGACAAAAGCTGAGGCAGGGGGCTATGTCACTTAGAGATGGGACAGAGACCAAAGGCGGGTAGTGGGAGAGAGTTTGGGTTCCAGCGACAGACCAAGGGTGGGGGCAGTCTCCCAGACCCAGCCAGAGGCAGGCAGAGAGCCCTGGGCGGAATGGCCACACGACAGGAAATCAGGCCCCAGGCTTCGTGGGGGGCAGTGTGGGGACACCGGTAAGGTCCAGAGAGGAAGGAGGGTGGGGAGGGGACAGGGATGTTGACCATGGTTGTGTGTGTGTGTGCCACCCCGGGGGAGTCAGGCCTCTGAGGCAGATTTGGGTGTCCAGAGGAGGCCAGTGGGCCCCACCCCCACACCTTAAGTAGGTCAAGAAAGGGAGCTGGGCCTCCCGGCCCCCATCTTGCTCCCTCAGCTGCTGACCCAGTTTCACACCAATTAAAAATAGCTGGAGTCAGAGCCTAGGGGACCCCCACCTGCCCCTCCCTCATCTATCACCTTCCCACGGTGCCCTTTCCAGCACCCCACACCACACATGTCCCCAGCCTGCCACATCCTGGCCTGCCATGCCTCTGCACCCTGATCCTTCCCAGCTGGACCCTGCTCAGTCCCCCTCAGCCGGCCTCCTTCCGCTGCCCCCCACCCGGCACCTACCCAGCTGCCAGTTCTGAGCCCACGTGCTCCCCCAGCTCAGCTCTGTCCCACTCTTCCCAATGCTTGGCACCTTCCGGGTGGTGGCCCTTCACAACCTACCAGCACCCCCGGCCCCTCACCCAGCTGCGCCCTCCTGTCAGCCTCCCCTTCCCGCAGTCTCCACACTCAACAGCCTCAACTCTCCAGCACCCTCACTGCTGACCTCTGCACCCCGCCATGAGCTCTGACACCTTGCTTCCTCTCGTGTCTCTGACCCCTCTGGATGTAGATCCCCGCCCCAATGGGGACCCAGCAGCCGCCGCACTTGCCCATGAGGACTGCCCAGCCATTGACCAGCCCGCCATGTCCCCGGAGGACAAGAGTCCCATCACGCCGGGAAGCCGGGGCCGCTACAGCCGGGACCGGGCCTGCTTCCTCCTCACCGACTACGCCCCTTCCCCTGATGGCTCCATCAGGAAAGGTGAGGTGCTCTCCACGGGCCAGCCCCTCCCTCTCTCCCCTGCACGGGGAGGGAGGAGAGGGTGATGGGCTGGAGGCGGTGGACTCCCTGTCCCTCGTCCCCCACCTCTCTCCTCCGGCCCAGACCGCCTCCCTCCCAGAGCTCCGCCACCCCAGGTTCCTCTCCACTGACCCTTCACCTGTCTTTATTCCATCTCCATTCCCCCCCACCCGGACCCTCTGGCCTCTTCCCCTACCCCCAGCCATTGGTGCTCCCCCAAGGTTCCCCCCAGACTGGCGTAAGCCAGGCCCCCCAAGCTTCTTGCCCGACCTCAACGCCAACGCCGCAGCCTGGATATCCCCCTAGTGGACGAACCCCCTCCCCCCGGGGTAAGTAGCCCCCTGACCTTCGACTCTCCCCTCCCTCCTGACTAACCCCCTGAGAACATGCAGCCCTCACTGACCGAGCCCCACCCCTCACTGCAGCGGCCGCTCCCAGCTGCCCCCACTGCCCCCGACACTGACCCCTGCCTGCCCAGGACTTGCCCTGGCCTCACTAACCCCCAGAACTAACCCCAGCTCCCACTCGCCCTCACGACTGACCCCATCCTCACCCATCCACGTCTCTCCCGGCCTTTCCCTTGGTTTGGTTAATTCAGTCAGGAAAGGGGGTGCGGCCAGGACACTTGTACACACAGGGTGGGGTGAGGGAGGCTCGGCGCCGATCCAGTCTCTGCGAACGTGGCGAGCACTTAGCACCCACGTGTTGCGGGCTGGCCCCGGGCTCAGCTGGGAACAGTGTGCACTTGGAGCTCCCTGCTCGGCAGGGCAGGCAGGCGCGGACCGACACTGGCTGTTTGGAGTGCTCTAGGCTGGGACGGGAGGACCTGGGGCGCAGTGAGAGGGACATGCACACTCCTGGGTGAGGAGGCCCTCAGCACCTGTGGTGTCTCCATGAGGTTTAAAGCGTGAGCGCTTCTCCCAGCCCAGTGGAGGTGACCCCATTAGACGGCAGTGATTGCAGGGAGCCGAGGAAGCAAGGCTGGGAGAGAGCTGAGGAGCTAGTGAGGAGGCTGGAGGGGCTGGACCTCGCCAGGGCCTGGGAAGCAGGTGAGCCTGCAGGGCCAGGATGCAGGGGGCAGAGTGTAGGGGACAACGAGGCCTGAGCTGGGGCCAGTCAGGAGGCAGCGTGCACGGGTGCAGAGCTGCTGAATCATCAGCAAACCTCCAGCGCCTGCCGTGCCAGGACTGTGGACCCCAGCCAATCCCTGGCTACTTGGTTCATTCATGGAGTGGGTCATTCATTCAGCAATGGACTCCTGAGGACACAGTTCCAGGTGCAGGATGGTGGGTGAGCAGGAACTACCTTCAGTTTACAGCTGAGAGCGGAGGCTAGCAAGGGCACATGTTTTGGCCAGCACTATTTATAAATGAAGTTTTTTTTTTTTAAAGAATTATTTTTAAAATTTATTATTATTATTTTTTAATTTGACCAGAGAGAGACAGAGAGAGAGAAAGGAAGAGCAAGTGAGAAAGCAAGCCACCAGGTCCAGGACTCGAACTGTAGTCGGCCATGTGGGAGTCCAGCGCCTTAACCACCACACCACCTGCCAACCCTATAAATGAAGTTTGACTGGAGGAAGTAGAAAATAAACAGGAAACGAACAAGGTAATTCCTTTGGCCACTTCAGTGAGGTGGGCCTGCTGAGGCCTCTTTGAAGAGGTGACATGAAGCCTGCAGGTGAGGGCCAGCCAGGCAGAAGGGACAGCAAGTTGAAATGCCCTGGGTGCTGAGGCCATGAGCTTGTCTGCTCAAGGAACAGCAAGAAGGACACGAGGGGCCCCAGGGAAGTTCAGGGAGAAAGAGCAGGAGGGATTTTGGCCGTGGTGAAGAGGCTCGATTTGATCTGAATTGTGATGGGAAGCTCCCTGAAGGTATCTGATCCACCGTTTATTCCTTCTAGAAACCTCTGTGCAACCCTCCGTAGAAATACAGAGACACATTCTTAAGAATCCAGCCCAAGGCCCAAGATGTCACAGGGGGCCTCGGGAGCCTCTGGGATGCTTCCTCTAAGCCCTCAGCTTTCACGTTAGTTCAGGGAGGGCCATGACCAACCTGGGGCCACAGAGCAGAAGGGATGAGGGCTCAGGCTCTGGGCCCCTAGTCCAGAGGGGCCTGTGTGGCTCCTCCGTTCTGGCCCACCACTCTCCTTTCGCAACTGTCCTGTCACCCTCCATTTTCATCTCATCCCCCCTCCCTTCCCTCCTGCTCCTCCTCAACCCTCCCCCAGCTTGTACCCAGCCTGTTACCACCTTTGCTCCCCACCCCAGGCCTGGAGGGCCCCCACAGAATGGAGGGGGAGGGAGTGGGGAGGGTTTAAGAATGGGGTGAGGGAGGATTGGGGGTGGGTGGGGTGGTCCCTGCTTCTTTGCCTCTGATGCCAAAATCCATTCATTAAACTCAAATAATGGCTGGAGCTGATGGGGCTGCCTGGACTCTTGGCCCCAAGCCCTGGACCCTTTCCCCTGCTCCTCCCTCCCTGTCTGCCCTGGACCCTCCTTCCCTAGAGCTCCTACTCCTCCCCCAGGACCCTGCCTCCTTCCCTTCTGGCCTGTCCTCCCATGACCCTTCCCTTTGACCTCTCCCCTCACCAGCACCCAGCCCAACACCTGACCTCCCCCTACCCCCAACCTCCAGCCACCCCGGAAGCTCCTTCCATATTTGATGTCTCTAACGGCCCCATTTCACTGCTCCCTCTCCCCCGGAAAACACCAGAGAGGAAGAAGACATCCCGGCGTTTCTCCGTCCCCCCAACAGTGAAGCTGTGTTGGGGGGTTCCCCTGACCATTCTCCCCACACTGTGACTCTGTCTATTTCTGTCCCCAGCTCTTGTCACCGCCTGAGACCTCGCGAGACCCTCGGTTCCCCTTTGTCCCTTCCCCCCAGGTTAGCAACTGGGAATGGCTGGGAGGGGGCATCCCTAAGATATTGGACTCCAGTCCCTCCCCCAGACCCTCTCCCCAAGGGCCAGACGCCCTGGTCCAGACAGCTCTAGGAAAGCCACAGGTCTCCCTGGCTGCTGGCAGAATCCTGAAGACATTCCTAGGCTTTCGAGAAACCACACACATGTACACACGCATGCACACGCACGCACGCACACGCACGCACGCTGCTCCTCTACCTTAGAGCCCACTAGCGGTCACATTTAGAGCCTTACCTGCAGGTGAGATGTCCCTGAGAACCTCGGGGTGAGCCTTGCCTCCTCCACGGCACCTGGACCTCAGCCACCCAGAGGCGCAGCCTTGGCCCCACCCAGCCCACAGCCCGCCTGCCATCCCCGCTTTTCAGCCTGCGTTGCCCCCCAGATCTGCCACCTGCCCGGCACCCCCCCAGCCCTCCCCACTGGCTGGGGGGGAGGGGTAAGGGGACTGCGGTGGGGATGGGATGGGGCCGGGGCGGGGCAGGGGAGGCTGGGTGGGGTGGGTAACACCCTGCTTCCTAATTCTGAGTCTCTCCCCCCATGTCTGGCCCTTTCTTGTCCATGGTGACTGACTGCAATTTGTTCACTTTCTCTCTCCATCTCCTTGGTCCGCCTCTGTCTGTCTCTCTGTCTCTTGCCGTCCATCTTTCTGTCTCTGTGTGTTTGTCTCTGTGTCCATCTCCCTGTCTCTTATTCTTGTCTCGCTCACCATCTCTGTCTCTTTCCTCTGTCTCTGGGCATCTTTTGCCCTCTCCATCTCCCTGTCTTGGGGGTCTCTGTATGTGGACTCTCTCCCTGCATCCCTTCTCCATGCTTCCTTCCCGTGTCCCCCCCCCAGGTTACGAGAAATCCCGCAGCCTGAGCAGCATCGCGGGCCTGAGCGGGGTGTCCCTCCGCCTGGCGCCCCTTGCCACCCCTCCTGGCTCTCCCCGGGCCACCCGCCGTGCTCCTCCAACCCTGCCCTCCATCCTCTAGCGCTCCCCTCCCCCCTGTGGGGGGACTCGGGGGTGACCAGGAAGAAGGTCAAAGGAGCTGGGGGTGGGGGGTGGGGGAAAGGGTTTTTTTAAAAAAAAAAAATCAAAAAGTCATTAATAATATGCAACCGAGATGACGACGCCAGCAGACACCCCCGGGCCCCTCACTCCCCACCTGGGCCCCCAGGATGGAGGGGGAGAGGCCAAAACTCGTCCTCCCAACTCTTCCTCCTCCCCCCTCCAAAAAAGCCTTCTCAGGTCTCCATGAGCCATAGGACGCCCCCTCCCGTAGACTCGTGTAAATAAGCCCAGACGACTCCAGCTCCATCTCGGGCCCTCCCGGCACTGCATGCCTCCCGGCCGGACGCTGCTCCAGCTCCACTCAGCAATAAGCCGCCAGGGCTGCATGCCGCGATCGAGGGAAGGGGCACTCTGGGAGGGCGCCGGGACCTTAACGGGGACAGGCTGGCCTCTAAGCCACTTGAGTGGCTCCTGGCTTCCTGCCCTTCACCCGGGAGGGCAACCCACCCATCGCGCCGTGATTAAGGAAACGGCATCTTATACATAGCCTAGAAAACGTGCAGGGGAAACGGGCGGGGCCCGCGCTGAGCACCGGAGCAGAGCGCAGGCGATGGGCCGCGACTCCCGCGGCCTCTAGGGGTCTCCTTCTGGTGACGCCGCCCTCACGTCCTCTCCCTCCACCCCCCAGGGATCTGCTCGCCTCTCTTCTTGCTGCATGGACTCAGACCTCCCATCCCAGAATCTTGGGATGATTTGGCCCTAGCACTCAAAATGCCCCATCACTCCATCCCCAGGACATGAGACCTGCACCCAAAATTCCTGAGACTGACCCTGGCACCCCGCACACTTCCACACACTCCTGGGACTTGGCCTCTGCACACAGATGCTCCCCGTCCGTCCCCCCACCCCACCCCACGCTCCCACCCGGACTGCATCCCATCACTTCTAACACCTCCAAGACTTGACCCAGCTCTTCAGCTCAGTTTCAGCCTTTGGGATGCTCCAAGTCCCTCCTACAACTCTGACATTTCCCAGACACCCATAAGTCCTCAGGCCTGCCCCCCAGAGATCCTCAAATTAACACCGGACTCATCACCCCAGGTTCCTCTGACACTAGCAATTCCCAGATAGGCTCTACCTGTCTGCAGGTCCAGGGAACCAGATCCTTCCGGGCGCCCCCTTTCTGATGCCTGACCCTGCCTCCTCAAGCCCCTTTCCTGAGATGGTACCCAAAAAAAACTCTTCGTAGACCAGTGTTTCCCTGGGGCCATATCCGTGCGGGTGGGGTGCCGCAGTTGCAGGCAGCACAAGGCAAACACTTGTTTTAAAGTCCCGTCTTCCGTGTGCAAGTGTGCTCGAGCCGCCGTGTCCAGGTACGTGGCCTGGCCAGCACACCGCTCACTGAGGCCATTTAAGGTTGTCTACGAATGGCCACAGGCTGTCCCCAGATGGGGAAGCCCTGGGGTATCAAGCTTGGGGAACTATGCCATCCATCTCGCCCGCCCTTCCCCCGTGCCCATCGCCCCGCCATGCTGGCAGGTGGGAAGACATTTTTCTCATTTCCCATCCTGACTCAAGGATGCGCTACCTCCCCCGAGCCGAGACCACACCAGTCCCAGAATCCTTAGTGGACCCCCCTTTGGAGCTTGGGGCCCATGAAATTAGCAAACCTTCTTCCCTCTGCTCCCACAGCCTCAGGAACCCCCACCCGAGGGGGGGCGTCACTGAGCACGATTCTTGATGCAACGATTCCTATGCAAGGGGCATTTTGAGTCCCCCCATCCTTTCCTCGGACCCTAAACCCTGGTGAATCGGGGTGAGGGGTGGGACGGGTTCTGGTGGGGGCGGGGCTAAGGGCTAGGGGTTCCAGACACCAGGGTATGGGGTGGGGACTGATCATATTGCCAAAGGGTTTAACTTCTTAAAAAACGCCCCCAGTTTCCCCGGACCCTCACGAAAGTCGAACGGGGCGGGAAAAGGGGGTGAGGGTTTTTTCCAAAGGGTACTGACCTCTTCCCGACGATTCCCCCATCCCCGCTCGCCAATACGCCACATGTACCCAGCTTTTTAGTTCAGCTTTTAAAAATAACCAGTCATTATAAACTTCTACCAAATGTGATTCTTGTTCCCTCGCCCCCCAGCCCCCAAATCGAGGGTGGGATTCGGGGAGCGAGAGCAAGCTCCAGGGACGACTTCAAAGTCCGGCTGGCTCCCCCCTTTTCCCGGCCGCCAGGGTGCCTGCAACTGCACGCATGCGCTGCATGACGCCCCCCCCCACGCATGTCGCGCCCCGCCCGCGTTCCGGGAACGCACGGACACGGGGCAGGGCGGGGCGATTGGGGAGGAATGAATGGCGGGGGGGTCTTCTGAGCTCTGCGGCTCCCC